CAGAGACTGGCGTTGTCTCAACATTAGAAAACCAGCAGGTGGAAAATATGCAAACAGTCAACATGTCATTTTCATGGTCATGTCAAGTCTTTCAATGAGCTGAAGTAAACAGGAGACATTCCAACGTACATGGAGGTTGTTTTTGTCTTCACTGTGTGTGAAATCGGTTCCTGGATATTAAATTCCCACTTGGGACATCCTGTGTTGACTCAAACACCAGTGAATCACTTCAAGCTAACAGGATAAATTGACTCTTTTCTTACATTTACACCCGTGTTTGCCGTTTCTTTTCTAATGGTTGGAGAGTAGATAGCTTCCCACTCACTGTGTGGTAAATTTTAAAACAAATTGTTTCAATTTCATCACTACTTCTTGCTTCAGATTTCTTAAAAAGAAAACAGCATTGTAAACATTGTTTATGTCCTTTCCTTTTCTTACCCTCGTGCTGTTGTCTGTCCATCAAAATGAAACAGGATTAACCTTCCCTCTGCATCGTGGCCCACTGCCGTCCTCGCTGAAACTACATCCACAAAAGTGTGGAAACCCCCTGTGAAAATATGAGAACATGCTTTTTTAATTATGATGTACGATTAACAGTTCAATAAAACCTGTTACCGTAAATCAAACTGTCTTGGATTTATCCCACCATAGAACTCAGGATCTACAGAAATGTGCACACCAGTATGAACCAGTTATTCCAGATTAGGAGTTTTGTGATTAATTAACTCAATATTTTGTCTTTTTTATGCTGACCTCACATTTGGGAATTTAAAGTCTAACACCTTTTGCTAACCATGCCTTTACATCCAAATGATGCATTACAAAGACATGACTCAATAATGCCTCAGTGCTGCTATTTCAAGCTAATGGCTGATTTAAACTTCTGCAGTGAATGCTTGTAGAGCCTACAATGTAATATGTAAGTCCCCAACGTTGCTGCTGGCATTTATGTTTGTGCTTGGTGCATTATGTGTCAATTACCTTGTGGTCATGTCCCTGCGTTTTATATTCCCTATTCCCTCCTGGGTCCCTACTCTTTGTTGTTTTTGGGGGCCAACATACTTTTCCCTCAAGTTCTACCATTTCTTTGTACACCCCTCACATCCATACTGATAGTTTCATCAATGTCCTTTCAGGAATTTGCTGACATTTGTGAGTCCTTATGTTGAAGCTGACATTAATATTCCTTATAGTGAGATG